AACATCTCCCTTCACCCACTTCGCCACTGTCTGTCCCCCAAGGAGGAGGCTATATGTAGGTCCTTGTAATCTGTTCCCCCTTTGTCCCTCACCTTCCCTCCACCCTCCCGGTATTGCCACTCTCACCACTGGTCCTGAGGGGTTCATCTGTCCTGGATTCACTGTGTTTCCAGTTCCTATCTGTACCAATGTACATCCTCTGGTCTAGCCAGATTTGTAAGGTAGAATTGGGACCATGCTAGTGGGGGGAGGAAGTATTTAAGTAATAGAGCAAAATTGTATGTTTCATTGTGGATTGCCTGCACCCTGACTGGCTCATCTCTTCCCCATGACCCTTCTGTAAGGGGGTGTCCAATTGCCTACAGATGGGCTTGTAATTTTTAAACCATTGAATACTTTCATGCATAGTTTGAGTTCAGTTGAAAAACCTTAAATCAAAATGCCTGAGTATGATGCTTCAAGGGTAGGTTTTACTCTATAATTGACGATTCAATTTATACCAGAACCATATTTTTTTCCTGACAAATGTATAATGAATACTTTAATTGAGAATCTCTCTAATGATTTTAGGAGTTCTGATACATTGACAGTGTCTGTAGAAGCCTAATTTATTTGTTGCAGGTGGAAAATGTGCCAATTTTTAATGTTATCACTCCCTATATAAATTCTTAGAAAGTGTATATTTGAAGCAATTCTATTTTTCCAATTAAAAAAATCAAACTTTTAGAACATTAATGTTATTGGAGATAGGCAAATAAATTAGGTAAAATGACCAGTCATTTAATGGATTTTAAAATATATTCTATACTTGAACAATGATAACATTTCATATTTTTCATGGACTTTGAAACAGTTTGAATAATCAAAAATCTATTTGATAATCTCAAACTCTGTATTCATTTACATGTATGAGTAGTCAAGAACAATTTTTCTTTTTCCTTGTCAAGAATCTACTTAAATATCTTATTTTTATAGTTTGTCTGCTGAGTTGTAAAAGTTACATAGAACTATTTTCCCTTCAAATGTATGTTCTGAAATGTGAAGTCAATTTATTTTGAATTTGTCATGCTTTGTAATTACCATGCTCTACATTTTAATGAATGTGTCTCTCATTTTGAGTGCAATCCAATCAGTAAATGAATGGCCCCAAACTTTACTCTATCCATGATTTCATTTATGACCCAATAACTTTCAAGCGATGTGTTATTTCATTTCCATGTATTTAATGTCTTTGCCTGTTTTTCCTACCATTGATTTCTTCTTTTAGGTTTTGAAATCTATTTTAAACAAAATGTTATGATACCTGTTTGAGTAGAATAATGGTGCGATTATAAATTCTCAAGCTTTTAAAATACCAATACCACCATCTAATCAGGTGGACTAATTAGTGTTCCTATAAAGGTAATGCCATTGTTGGCAAAGTTATATCCTGGCATTTTAGCTAGTAAGTGTTATGGAAATTTCTAGATGGTATATATAAACAACTTTAAAATGTTACTGGTGGAGCTCTTAGTGATTGATCTATTACGATCCTGATTCATATTAGAAAAATAAAACTATGTGTGCTACTAATCTTTGAAACTCTTTAAATTTTGATGCTCAACACTTACTGAAAAATAACAATAAACACACATTTCCTCCCCAGGACTATAGAGTTAACATATTTCTGAGACAAAAATGGAACGACCCCAGGCTGAAGCTCCCTAGTGATTTTAGGGGTTCTGATGCACTGACAGTGGATCCCACAATGTTCAAGTGTCTGTGGAAGCCTGATTTGTTTTTTGCCAATGAAAAAAGTGCCAATTTCCATGACGTAACCCAGGAAAATATCCTCCTGTTTATTTTCCGAGATGGCGATGTCCTTGTCAGCATGAGGTACTCTTTGATATTTAATTTTTTCACATTTCTGTTTTCCTTTTAAAGTAAGCAGATTACAGAGAGGTATTTTAATGGTTTCTAACACCTTCATTTCTACTTTCAGGTTATCGATTACTCTTTCCTGCCCTTTGGACTTGACTTTGTTTCCTATGGATACACAACGTTGCAAGATGCAACTTGAGAGCTGTATGTAAGGAGTGATTATAGAAACACAAATGCTTCAATTTTTAGGCGATACAGTCTACATGTCCAGTATCTCAGATAACAATAGTTAAACTAACCCACTTGAGTACAGACAGTCATTAAAATACACTTAAGGAAAATCATAAGTATTCTTTTCCTGTTTTACTTTGTATTATGGTAGACAAGTCCTTTTGCAGTTACTTGATTTCAGTTCAGTTGATAGAGGTGTACTTTTCTAACTTATTTATAACTGCCATACACATTTGGATTCGTTATATAGGCAAGGTAAAGGAGAAATGGCCTAACTTAAGCAATTTTTATGATGCTAAAAATAATTTTTAATCATACAAGATTTGAAAAAATAAGCTGTGTATCCTACTAATAAGTCATTTTTTAGGTACAGAATTTTAAAGTAATGTTTAAAGATTATTTATTTCCTTATTAGTTTATAAAAGGTATACTTGATATATTAAATTTAAATGTATTCTAAGAAACAAACATATTAGTTAATTTTCTTTCTTTTTTTTAAAATCATTTTATTGGGGGTTCATAAAACTCATCACAATCCATACATAATTTTATCTAATGCTTACCCTTCAAAAGTAGGAAATAAACCTTGAAAATTAATACTAGTTTTACAAGAAATTATTAGCCTGGTTATCTATATACCATTACCTAAGTCTTCAAAGACTAAAAAGTAATTTTTTATAAAATGTTTTCTACATGCTTGTTATAGTCATTTCTTGTCCTTTTTCTGAAATTTACTGTTATGCATTTTAAATTATAACAATGCTAATTATTTCCTAACTGTAAAATGAGTCTATAAAGTATATGTGTGCATGTATTATATGTATATGTGTGTGTACATGAATATATGTGTATATGAACCCTGCAGGTATAATGGATTACCCATTGGTCTGTGTGTTAGTCTTGGTTGACTAAAGAAACAAATTTATTGACACTCATATATGTGTAAGAGAGAACATTATATTGAAGAGTAATTGTATATTAAGAAAACATCCCAGCCCGGTCCAGATCAAGATCATAAGTCTGATATTAGCCCATATGTCTAATACCGATCTATAAATTCCCCTTCAGACTCATGCAAAACATGCAATGACACTGAATGCAGGAAGATCACAGGCCAGTGGGTGGAAAGTCTTGTGGATCAAGTGGCGGTGGAAGCATCTCAGTGCTGGCAGGGGTCTCCACGTGGCTCCTCCAGCTCAGGGCTCTAGCATAGATCCATGGGTCTTGTAAACAGGAAAGCGAAGCAGAGAGTTTGTCCTGTCTTCAGGGAGGAAAACAGGAGTTCCCAGAATCCTCAGGAGAAGGCCATGACCCAACAGAGGCCTCATGGGCTATAGGTGACCTTATTGACAGGCTAGACTCCACCCCTTCCCAAGCTGACATGAGATTATATTACTGCCACAGGCTGCTAACTGCAAGGTCAGTAGTTGAAAACCACCAGCTGCTCCTCCAAAGAAAGATGAGACTTTTACTCCTGTAAAAATGTACAGTTTTGGAAACCTACGGGGGCAGTTCTACTCCGCCCTATAGGTGTCTAAGAATCAGAATCGACTCAGTGCAGTGAGTTTGTATGTTTGTCTGTAATATTGCATGTTATTCTATTACCAGATGCACTAAAGTTTCACTTTGAACATGTATCTTAGACTTGAGTTGTGCATTACTACATATTTCAGAACCACATCAGATTGCAGAGTTGTAGCTGCATGTGTGCTCGTGATGAGGAAATGACATTGTAGCAACATGTACTTGAGTAATTCCCTTGTTGCTCCTCTGTGGTCATGCAATTCCTGGAGAGCACTTTGCAGTTATTTCTTCAGTATAATCTAAATTTTACAAAATTTGATAGCATACTGCACTTGTTTATGCAAATGGATGTTTAGAAATAGATGACTTGTTTACTACTTTTTTATTGATGACCATAGAGCATTTTGATATTGATCAATGGACTACTGCATGTGACACCATTGGAATTTACCTATTTGCAATAAGCTAATTATTTTAACTTTAACTGATCTTTTTTGAGACACCGATTTATAATTCTTGGGGTGCTATATTTTCATTAGTAGCCATGGAATTTTACCTCTTTATATTATCTTAGCAAATATCTTATAAAAGAGGCCCTATTTGATCATTTTTACTATGTTTAATATTTGTGTTATTACAATGCTAAGAACATAACATCCCATATTTCAAACTAATGGTTTTACTTATATATATTTTTTATTTATAGTTGGCTATACAACTGATGATTTACGGTTTATCTGGCAGTCGGGAGATCCTGTTCAGTTAGAAAAAATTGCCTTGCCTCAATTTGATATTAAAAAGGAGGATATTGAATATGGCAACTGTACAAAATATTATAAAGGTACTGGTAAGTAACATTCAAATTAAATAAAACTAAATTCTATTTTAAAGATTCATTGTTAATGTTGATATATACTGGGAACAGAGTAAAAAGCTCATTAAATTAAGTTCCGTATTTCTAAGTAGTTGATATTTATGCTCATATAGCTACATGTTTTATAGCGTTATCATTAACTAACATTCTATGAACATTTGGTCACTAGATAGTTATGTTTTTCTATGTCCTTGTAGCAAGAGACTTCAGATTGTTTATTTTCATAATGTGACTTTCAGAAGAATCTTCCCGTCTTTCTTAAATGTTACCTTTGCAGGATTCAATTTGGGAACAAACACTATAGAGATGAACTATGCAATTCATAAATATTTATCAAGAGCCTTTGGGTCAGATTGTAGATGGTTGTGACTCAATCGACTAGGGGTGGTATCAACCTTGCAGTTAATTTGTGGTCATACTGCCCCTCCTGAGATCTCTTCCTGTACCAGTCCACAGAGAATCCTTAGTAATGTTTATTGTCAAATTCAACCATAGAATAATATATGGTAAATGTAGTTGTAAAATGCTTAAATTTAATAATTCTTGGACTATGAATAAGGACATCTGCGATTATAAAACACCAGCAACATTGATAACAATTCTGACTGTAGTGTGTGCAAGATTACAAGTGTAATTGTAATTGGATAATAAAGATAGTCTTATAAATGTTTCATAATGCAGTATATGCATATCCCACAATACTTATGTCTTATTTGTCATAATAGATACCTATGTTACCTTTGCATTAGGTAAGTCTACTGCATAAGATATATTCAAAGTATTGAAAAGCAAGAATACTGCTTTGAGGACTAAGGTATGCCTGACCCGAGGAGTGGTCTTGTCAGTCGCCTCAGAAGCACGTGAAAGCGGGACGGTGAATGAGAAAGAATGAGAAAGAAATGATGCATTTGAATGGTGGTCCTGATAAAGCAGACCCTGGACTTCCAAGCGAACTAACCAATCTGTCTTGGAAGAAATACAGCCAGACTCTTGCTTAGAAGCAAGAAGGGTGAGACTTGGCTAGCGGACTTCATCAGGAGAGGCGAGTCCTTGAACAAGGACACCGTGCTGGGTAAAGTAGAGGGGCAGTGGGAAAGCAGAAGATTCTCTGCAAGATGGTGACACAGCGGCTCCAATGCAGGGCTCACAGGCAGCGCTTGTCAGCATGGCACAGCGCTGGGCAGTGCTTCGTTCTGCTGTGCGCAGGGTCACTGAGAGCCCGGATGGACTCTGTGGCACGCAACACCTAACAACATGTTGCTGTCTTGTGTACACACCATACTGTACTTTCCATTACCATTTTCATAAGGACCTGTCATCTGAATAAAAACTTTACTGTGTAAAGTGTACACTTCAACTGATAGAAAGCAGTGCCCGGTTTAGTACGCCATGCACCTGTGCATGGTTAGAATGTTGTCATATAATCTGTCTACTGAATTTTTTTGGTGAACATATTACAGTAAAGTGCATTATGGCTTCCACACACAGCACCACTAGTGCTACCGATGGCAGCAATGGGAAACAAAGCACTATTCATGTGGAAGTGAAAGGAAAGATCACTAAACAAAAAGACAGAACATGGAAGCTAGTGCTCACTCTTGAGGCATATCTGTTTGCTAAATCAGTGGCACTCTGGTGGAGATGCCGAGTAAGCATTGGATTGTTAATCTCAAGTTCAGAGGTTCAAACCTACCAGCAGCTCCGCTGGAAAAAGATGAAGCTATCTGTTCCTTAACAATTTACAAAGCCTTGGGAGACTTGTGAATCAAAATTAATTTGAGGACAGTAAGTTCATTTTTTGTTTGCTTTCTAAATAGAAAGCCTAATGTATCAGTGGTTAAGCAACAAGAAGGCTGATGGTTCAAACCCAGCAGGAGATCTGTGAGAGAAATATGTGAAAGTCTTTTCTCATAAAGATTGCTATCTCTGAAACCCCATGGGGCAATTGTAGTCTGATATATGTTTGCAATTGACTCAACACTAGCAGGCTTGTTTGGGTTTTCTCAGAATATAATATGGTCTATGCGCAAGGTCCAAATAACATCATACTTTACAGAAAATTGTGATGCATGAATACACACACATATATGTACACGAAGGTCAGAAAAAAATTATTAAAACTAGGATTCCTGTTCATATATCAACGCAGCATCAGCTCAACTCATTGTCAGTAAGTCAATACCGATTCATCATGACCTATAGAACTGTCCTTATGGATTATAAATCTTTATGGGAGTAGAAAACCTCGTCTTCCTTCCATAGAATACCGATAGTTTCAAACTGCTGATCTTTCAGTTAGCAGCCCGATGCATAACCCACTACAGCATCAGGGCTTCTTTGTTCATATGTACACAGATGTATTCCAAACAAAACGTGTTCCAACTGTTCGCTGCCCTCAGTCGATAGTTACAGACAAGTTCTCTCAGTTAATACAGTTGTCTTAATCTAATTAGGGTCTAAAGAACAACCCAAAAATGATACTCTTTTTTGCTCCATGGAGGATGGGGGTGGGGCTAGTTGAGGTGAAGGACAGATCCTTTAAATTTTACAGAAAGTTTATAGGAATTCTGGCTTACAAAATCCAACAGTTTTTAGATGGGTTACACCTTTTAATGTCTAGAAGACATAAAAATGTTAACCTCAAAGAATAAAGTATGAGTCAAGTCTAATAAGTGATGCAAGGAGACCATAAAAAACACCATGTATGTCATAGCTACTGAAGTTGAGATCTTACAAGATTTGCGATTTTAAATTTGAAGGGCAAGTCCTGGCTTCAGAAAACTTTCAGCTAGAGGAGGTCCAAAGCTTTGGAGGAAAAAACCTGTTCGTTCCATCTGTATTTTAAAGCAAATCAAAGCTAATGAAGGCAATTCTGTGGAATGAATTGTAACCAAGGAAAAGTCCTGTACTATCAATGCTGCTAGCTAGAGAACAAGGTCCAATCAAAGCCCTGGCTTCTGAGAGAATCAGCAGGGCCGGTTAACTTCAAGGCAGAGAGGGCAGCTCAGAAGGTTCTAGAGACTCTCTCTTGAGCCTCCACGGGGATAATCCTGATACGTGTTTGAAAAGTCAGAGGATGACCATGGGAACTTATTATGAAGATATTTAAAACTCTTCAGAGAGGCTGAATTGTATGAAGAAGAATGTGGCAGCAGGACTGAAGGGAGGCTTATGAACCACCTGGGGCATGCAGTGACACCCCCTGGCTGGTAAGGAGGACAGGAAGCACTTGCTGTTGAAGATCAAGTGGTGCAGCTTTAACTATGGAGACAACTCAATATGAAGAAGACCCAAATCCTCACAACTGGACCAATAGGTAACATCGTGCTAAATGGAGAAAAGGTTGAAATTATCAAAGATTTTATCTTGCTTGGATCCCCACCATCAGTGCTCATGGAAGCAGCAGTCAAGGTATCAATAAATGTGCTGCGTTAGGTCATCTACTGCATGAGATCTCTTTAAGTGTTTAGAAGCAAGGATGTTTCCTTGAGGACTAAGGTGTGCCTGATCCAAGCCATGATATATTTAATTGCTTCGTATGCATGTGAAATGTGGACACAGAATAAGTCAGACTGAAAAAGAATCGCTGTATTTAAATTGTGCTGGAGAAGAATACTGAAAGTACTACGGACTCCTAAAAGGACAACCTGATCTATCTCGGAAGAAGTAAGTACAGAGCGCTCCTTAAATGCAAGGATGGCAATCATCTGACAGACTTTGGACGTGTGGTCAGAAGACCAGTCCCTGGAGAAGGACATCGCGCTTGGCAAAGTCGAGGCAGCGATAGAGAGGAAGGCCCTGACAAGATGGACAGACGTTGTGATGGCAACAATGAGCTCAGGGGTGGGAACAAGGGTGCAATTGTGAGGCTGGAGCAAGACCAGGGAGTATTCAGTTCTGTTATACAAGGTGTCACCATGCGTCATAGGAGACTCACTGATACCTACCAACAACAAGGCACCTGTTCGCTCTCGCGGGTAGTCAGACTGCCTCTGGCAATTTTCACGGGACACTTGACCCCATCCATCATGCAGCCCAGTTATTTCCCCTTCAACCTTCCATTTGTTCCTCAAATTAAAATAATATTGAAAGCAATGCAATTTGAAACCCTCAAAGACGCAAAAAATGATGTTTCGGTGTGGAATAAATCGAAGAGTGCGGATATTTTTGGTGACGTGTTAAGGACAAAACACCTTCAAGAGGGAATAGACCTGGATTTAGGTGATATCAACAAGGGACAGCTGCGTATTTTGCTATGTCTGTTTCTGTAAGTTTGTCGCAATACATTTGACTTCAGAAACACGTGGAGGGCAGGGTGAGGAGAAGCAGTGCATTTAAAATTTTGTCCATTATGCTGGAAACCAGTTTTCCCAGACTCTCCTAAAAGCATGTTTATATTTCCTTTTCTTCTAGAGCAGAGGTTCCCAAACTTATTTGGCAAGTTATTGCTGTGAGATGCCTTAGAATTGGTTCTTACTCAAAGTAACCCTATGCTCAACAGAATGAAATATTGTCTAATCCAGTGCCATGCTCACAATTGTTCCTATGCTTGGACCCATTGGTGTAGCCACTTTGTCAGTTCATCTTGTTAAGGGGTTCCTCTTTTTCACGGCCCTTCTACTTTAGGAGCTGATTCCAACTCCTCTCATCCAGCTGACTCAAACTCCCAGCCTACCTTATGGGGCAGAATCGAACCGCACCTTTGGGTTGCCAGGACTAAACCTTTTGGGGAGCAAATAGATTCATTGTTATCCCATGAGCAGTTGGTGAGTTTGAACCACTGACCTTGCAGTTAACAGTACATGCTTAACCTACTTGGCCACATTTGTCTTCAAAAATAATATTTAAATTCCATAGTTTGGCATTTAAGGTCTTTTCACATTCTGGACCCATCACCAGTTATGCTCATCTTCTGTGTCTTTCCCTATTGATACTCTATGTTTTAGCTGGAAAACATTACTCACGCAAAAGAA